AATTTATAATAATGTCTTGTCATATTAAAAATTAAATAATTTTACTCTTTTTTATATTTTTATTTTTTAAACAAAATCAAAGTTAATATATTAATTTTTAAGTATAATTTTATAGTATATAATACTCTTTTTATTCTATAATAAGTGTCGTGTTTGAAGAAAAAATAAGTCTCAAAATAATTAGTGTCATATTACTTTTTTAATATTGTATTAATTACATTTTTTATTTTTTCATAACATTATTTAGAAAAAGTAGATATTTTATTAAATTATTTATAATAAAAAAGACTAATCACAAGATTTTTTTATTTCTAGTCTATGTAAAATAATCTAGGAAGATACTTATTATGAGATAAAGAGAGTATTAATTATAATTAAGTCAGTAAAGAGATTAAAAAGTAATAATTGACTCAAACTCATATTATGGTATTTTTAAAAAAAGGTTAAAATTTTGATATAAAATATAAATTATTAAATGATTTCTTAGTTATTTATATAGAAAAATATATTTTTAAATGTTAGAAGTGAGAAAATCATTCAATATTTTTAAAATATGAAATCTTATATGGAACAATTTGATTTATATTTATATTTCAAAAAAATATATAATTATATATTTAATATTATAAATTTATATATAAATATTATTCCCTATACTTAAAACTTATAATTAAATCTTTCATTACTTCTAATTATGTTTATTTTTACTTAATTTAAATTCAAACAAGAAATTGAATTTAATATCACTATAATTAACGTTGATTGTTCGTCATTTTGAGACCTAAACTTTTTGAAATTGAATTAATTAATAAATTGATACTTCCTGGGTATTATACATTTATTTTAGTAATGTGTTGATTTTAGTATATACAAATAACCGAAAAACTCACTTCTTTGCCCCAACTTCAGGTTGTATGTACGAGATTATTGTCAACTTAAAAAAATACATTTTACTAAAGCATTTGAATATATTATTTTAATAAAATGTCAAAATGTAAGTATTTTCTAATATCAAATATGTACTGCGAAATTTTAAAGAAACATGAATGTATGACTCTTTGATTAGAGAACCATGACAAGATTCTAAGAATTAGGGGGGAGACACTCATTATAAATAAAATCGATAAATTAGAATTTTTTAGGACACACGTATAATTTGAGAAAATATAAGTCGATACATTATACTAACAATACAAATAGTGTCCAAAAAAATGTATTATTATCCTTTCATCATCTTAAATGTTTTAGTGAGTAAATTGTATAAGATAAATGTTTCTATTTATATAGTTAAAATTTATAATACGACACCGGTGTAACTTTTACTAAGTGTTATATATCGCTCAATAACTTTATATTAAATGTGAATTTTGTATATCTAACAGTTAGATTGAAAGTTCTTTACTCTTAGATCATATATACAAAATTTTATATTAATCTAAGATGATTTGATACTTCATTCTTATAAAACAAAATTGACGTAATATATTTATTTCAAAATATACTAAAATATGAACACTTTGATTACTCTCAAGTTGTTGTTCCTTTTTAACAAAATTTGATATACACATATAAAGTGATATGAATTTTCAATTTAACGGTTGAATTTACAAAATTCGCATTTAATGTAAAGTTATTGAGCGGTGTAACACTTAGTAAAAGTTACACCGGTGTCGTTTGAACCCTCCTCTTAATATAAATCATATTATAGTATTTATTATAATAAATAAATATTTCTTAATATATAGATTATAGTTCAGATTTTTAATAAACAAATTTAATAATTTTGATATAAAATTATTTTTAACTTTTGACAAATTCTTTTATAAAAATTATTTTAATTCAAATTCGAAATATAGATTAAGGATGGTACATTGATAGAAATGATAAATTAAAAAGATCAAATATACTGACAAAAAACAATGCATGTTGAGATATTTTTTTTTTTTACTAAATGTAGAGATAATGAGAAAAATACACACCTAAAGAAGAGAAAAGAAAATATTTAATTGAGAGCAAGGAAAGTGAGAGTTTTATTCTTTAAAATATGTATTTTAATTTATAAATTTAAATATGTTTTTAATTCCTTCAATTTGAAATAATTTTTTTTCTCTTCAAATTTAAAATCATGTTTTAATATTTTAATTTCAAAATAGTTTGTTTTAATCTTTTATGACCACATATAGAATCACTAACAAAGACAAATTAATTCAGTTGTATAATATCAATTGAATTTAATATGATAATTTTTATTAATAAAAATACTAATAGATGAATATTGTAAAACAAATTCAATAATATATAAATTTTGTTCCTCAAATTCACTAGGGACATTTTGATAAGCAAGATAATTGAAATAATTTTTTTCAAATTATATGGATTAAAAATATTAGTTTAAATTTGAGATGGTAAAAATAATTTTATCTTATATTTTTAAGAGATTAAAAAATATTTAAACTTAATTTATAATATTGAAGTAAACTTTTAGGTTTGAAAGTGCAAGAAAATTTAACAATCTTCTGTCCTTTTTTCAAATATTTTGCATTACGAGGTTTTTCAATAAGTATTCTATTAAAAAATTATTTATTTTATATATTTTGGTGATGTAATTTATTTATTTATTTTTATTATTATATATAATAATTCTTAAAAAATCATTTCAATTATATATTTTATTGAGTAATAATATATAAAAAAATTCACGCTATATATCATGCATCTTTATTAAATTTTTATCTTCTTTATAATTTTTCTTTCATATGAAAATGCATGGCTCATTTACGACCACACTTAATATGTATTGATATTTGATATAGTTATTGAGCATTAGAATATTCAGCCTACAAGTCGTAAAGGCCGACAATATTGAAAAAAAAGACTATTCAAATATACGATGATGTGTATTTATATACGTTTAAATATTTATTTTTATAGTTTTTTTTAACATCATTGAGTTTTGATTTTGATCTTTGTGTTTTTTATTTTTAAAATTTGTAAAAATTATTTTTGGTGCTTGTAAGTTGTAAGATATTTTTTTACCGTGAATTGTAATCATCGACCATTCTGGACCAGAACGACCCGTTCTGAAATCAGAACGACTCGTTCTAGTTATATTATTGGTGTGTTAATTTTGTACCTGGAACGGGGTTCCAGGTACAAAATTAACACACCAATAGTGTAACCAGAACGGACCGTTATGGTTCTAGGTGTATTAAAGAAATTTGGCATCCACCTACGCATCCACGTGATATCCACGTGGCCAACAGTTAATTCCGTTTAAATCATTTAGACGAAAGTCCCAAATTGTAATAATTTAAATTATTGGAGACTAAATTGAAACAAAAATTAAAGTGGGACTAAATTGAAACAAAAAAAATATTATAAGGGACTAAATAAGAGTTTTAACCTTTATTTTTAAAATTTGTAAAAATTATTTTTGGTGCTTGTAAGCTGTAAGATATTTTTTTTATCTTTGTAAAATAAGTAAATTTTCTCTTTAATCTTTGTAAAATATATTTTTTTAATTTTTATCTCACTAAAATGTAAATTTATGATCTCTGTCCCTAATAATGATTGTAAGATAAATAAATAATATTTATTTTTAGAGTTTATAAGAAAAATTTTAAGATGTCACACACAGATGAATTTACTAACAAACTATTTATGCACTCATTAATTACCGTAACTTGACAAAATTCAAAATTGGCATTGTGTACACGGCTATGTGTTGACATTTTCTTTGTCTCCTTTAGTTTTTATTTTGGCTTTACATTTAATTCAAAGCTCTCACTGCACGTTTGGTTTTGGATTTGGACAGGAACAGGATTCAAACGACATTATCAAAATGCTTCAAAATGACAATGCATTATAAATATATACTTAGGGAAAACGTCCAAAGATATCATTTGTCAAACTTAATAAGATGACATTTTCAATATATACAAATATAATAAATAATAATATGCGTGTGTAAATAATCAATAATATTTGCTTCAACTCAAAATTTATATTATATGATTTTTTTTTCAGTTCTAAGTTAACTTAGTTTAAGATTGCGATTATCAACTTCAATTAATTAGTTCAAATAATATGAATTACGAATCAAAATTTTGTAATGTTATATATTTTAAAATTTTAATTTATTAGTAAATTTCAAATATGATTATTTTACTTTTTTGAAAAGGCAAATACGAACTTATTTTAGCAATTAGTTTTGCAAGACTCCGAGATATAAAAATAAATAAATAATTACAATTAAAATTTGCACAATTAAAAACTAGCCTATACATTAAATAATAGAAAATCTAATTTTATAATCATAAATCAAAGTTTTAACTATTTCCGAATGAGATCATTTTATGACGACACTAGCTAAAACTCACTATTGCCGTTCCTAATCAATTTCCACCAAATCCTTTCCACTAGATAAAATCATGAAATGCATTAAAATTAAAAAAAAAGAAATTCTTATATTTTAACCTCCCAAGCACGACATTTGACTTATACAAACGAAATCATGTCTCATTTTAACACTTCAAACACCCTAGTCATCTCACCAATCCTCAAGAGAAATTTTGGCGGCACAAGCAAAGCTATTATTGGATAACTCATGTTAGACTTTTGTTCATCAATATTCCAACAAATATTATCTCCAAGCCATGCCACACACTCCACACCACATCCTATAAATACCTCACCATTGCAAAAGATGAATCACACATCTACAAAAGCCACAACAACCAACCCTTGTGTTAAAACCAAACCTTTCTTTATTGAGCAAAGTTAGTAACACCAAGACACACAACACAACCATGTCAACGAGATCAATTGAAACAACCCTAACCCTAATGTTATGCCTTGCAATAATTGCCACAACAGCATTGGCTCAATCCACCAACACCCCAGTTCTTGACACCAAAGGGCACCCTCTTGAGCGTGGCAAGGATTACTACATCAAACCCGCCATAACAGATAATGGAGGTCGTGCCACTTTGCTAAGCAGAAACTCGCCATGCCCTTTATACGTTGGTCAAGAGAATTCTGATGCAGAAGAGGGTTTACCCGTTTTCTTCAACCCTTTTGATGAAGCAGAAAACATTGTGAGGGTGAATAGGGACTTCAAGGTGGCATTCAATGCTTCCACAACATGCATTCAAGGCACAGGGTGGAGGCTCAGTGAGAGGGATGCAAAGAGTGGAAGAAGACTCATTGTTGCATCAGGGAATGATAGTTACTTCAGAATTGTGGAGGCACAAAGTGAAGGTATTTATAATATTCGTTGGTGTCCTACGGATGTGTGCCCTTATTGTAAGTTTGACTGTGGCACTGTTGGTAACTTGCGTGAGAATGGGAAGATTTTGTTGGCCTTGGATGGTAATACGCTACCTGTTGTCTTTGAGAGGGCATAATATATTAATGTGTCATTTGTGCTTGTGTTGTGTATGAACTTGAAATTTGTTTGTAACCAGTTGGCAAATAGTTGGAGCTACTGATATAGGAAGGAAAAGAAATACACGTCTCTTTTCCTTTTCTTCATTTGTAGAATAAAGCTCTAAATTGTTATTATTTGTGTAATTTATAGAATAAAGTTATTGTATGTATTAATTTACAAATTGAAAAATGCTGGTTACACTCATGTTAATACTTTTCTCGGTTATCGGTTGAAAATTACAAATTTTAGTGGCCATATAATTAAATCAAAGAGATATTTTAATCAATAAATGAGATGTGAGATTTTAAAAAAATTATAATTTTCAATAAATTTTAATAATAAAGAAAGCATTATTAAGTGAGTGTTAAAAAGTGTTACTTAATTTTAATGTTTCTCAAGAAATTTTATACTTTGACTACTCAATGCACACGTGTGTAAATTTATTTGCACAACTCCCGTGTATGAAGACTATTTTCATGCATGTTTTAATTAATATGTTTTGATGACCACTATGAGTTGGACTAATAGGATGTCACCACCTACTAACTACTGTCATATCAATTATAAAGGATAATTTTTTAAATATTACTTGGAACTCTAACTAATTTATGTGTAAATTTTAATATATATATATATATATATATATATATTTATATTATTATCACATAAAGATAAAAAAGATTAAAAAAATAAAATTATCACAAATTATTTACTTACAAGTCGAGTTATGATTTTTTTACAAATTATTTGGTTATTTTTTTATGGATCATCTTCAACACCTCTCCTTTAACATAAAAACCCTTCTTGAAACTATAACAAGATCTAATAATCTTGAGCAACGATGCATTTGTTAGAACTCTTTCATTATCTTCACTAATTTGAAAAAGATAAAGGTTTACAATAGTACAACGTACATGTTTAATTTATTCATATCTTCACTAATTGTAAAAACTCTAAAAATAGATGAGTTCATTTTTTCTCTGTGCCCTATTTTGAACCCATATTGATTCATCCTAGTTATTTTCCTTCTTATGATCATACTAAATTCTCGACTTCCATGTTTGTAATGTTTAACTCAAAGAAACATGTGACTTTGAGATTCTTTTGTATTTGTTTGTTACCATTACAAATGGAGACAAATTAATGGAATTCTAAATCATGTTCTTACATCAATTGTTACTTTAATTTGATTTATTCTAATACAAATTAAAGTATCAAAATACATGGTTTAGAACTAGAGTAAATCAAATTGAAGTGACAACATTGATGCAAGAATATGGTTTAGAATCCTCTTTGGCTCTATTTGCAATGATAATAGACACAAAAGATTCCCAAAGTCACATATTTCTTCGATTTAAACTTCACAAACATGGAAATTGATAATTTAGTATGAAAATGAGAAGGAAAAATAACTAGAGTAAATCAAGATAGGGGGGTTGTTTCAAAATGGGGGTATAGGATAAGAAGAATGAATTCACCTATTTTTAGAACTTTCACAATTAGTGAAGACGGGAGTGAATGTGTGCATCATAATGAACTTTTGGCCTTTTCAAATTGGTATAGATAGTAAAAGAGTTCTAGAATAAGCACACCACATTGCTCAAGGTTAATTACTCAACCCTATTCCAATTTTTTCAAGAAAGGTTTCTCCATTAGAAGAGAAGGGTTGAAGACTCATGAAAAATAAATGATCTAATAACATGTGAAAAAAATCATGTCCTAACTTGTAAGTAAATAAACTAGAGTAATTTTTTTATCCTTATGTAATAATATAAAATTTTAAAAATATATATTAAAATTTACACATAGAGTTGAGTATATTTTAAATTTTTTTTTATAATTGATTTGACAGAGATAAATAGATTGTCTCATTCTATTAGTGCAACACATAAGAGACACCAAAATATATTAATCAAAACATGCATAGAAGTAATAGTCGAGTGTGAATTAAATTTTTCACTCATCCAAAGAATGATGATCGACTAGCTTTAAACATGAACATATGAAAACCTGTAATATTTTTTTAAAACAAGCAGTTTTTGTGCACTACACTACAAGAATTTCGCGGATTAGCGAGGGAATAACTTGGATTTATATCCCTCGCTAAATTTCCTCACTAAATAGGATCATTTTGCGACCAACCTTCATCTCCTCGCAAATCCGTCGCTAAAGCTAGTGCTTATTTAGCGAGGAACTTAGGCCCTCGCAAATGCCTCCCAAATCCCTCGCCAAATTATGAGCCAAAATATAAAAATGAATTTTTCATCTAGCGAGGGAGTTTTCTTGTCGCAAATCCCTCGCTAATGAGTTATAAGTATAACCCTCGCAAATGCCTCGCAAATTAGTGAGGGAAAAAGTTCTTCGCTAATCCCTCACAAATAAGAGATTTCGTTGCTAGTAGAATTTGAAATTCAAGTATTTGTAAAATTTCTTGAAATAGTAGAATTTCAAATTCTCCCAAAAAAGTAAGAATTTGAAATTTCTCATATTTTTTTCTTTTTATTTTACTTATATATATTTTTATCTTATTTGTTATCTCTTCATTTTTTTAATTATTGAATATTTAAAAATATTTTAAAAATTATTAAATATTATCTAATATTAATTTTAAAAATTATTAAATATTATCTAACATTATCTATTAAATAAAACTATTGATTAAA